AACTCGGACAAAAATAAAATTATAATCTTTGAGGTCGCCAAGTATCTAAGTTGAAGTTAGAACCTTGCTCTACAAGACTTTGAAGACTATTTTGAGATTAGGTTATTTTAAAGCGATATCATCCTTGTTTTTTCCAGGTCAAAACTGACGAGTTTCTGGTTTTCGCAAACTGTACATGCTTATTTCGGATATATATTTCGTAACTCACTACATTCTTTCCCCTTCAAATAACAACACGTAATACACGTTCAGTACAAAAACGTCGTCCGGGACTTGAGGTTTTTGTATACTTAATTTGTTATATTTTCCATATTAAAACATGCAAAATTAAAACATGTAGCGTGTTAATAAGGCAATATCTTAAGCGCAATTTTTAATAATAAGCATGAAAAATATTATCAGTAAGATTCTTTTGCTTAAGATAAATATACCACTAACCGTATTTCCTGCTAAAACAACGTTCATTACAGTTTTGGGGCGTTTCCATGATTATTATTGATATACTGTGAAGGTTTTTTTTTGAAATTTCAATCTGAAAACTGGTTTATCTGTCAGTGAAACAGTTTTTATTGTCTCCTGAAAAGTTTAATAGTGATAACAGAAACTCTGCTGGAGAAAAAATTATCCGTATTGAATAGAAAGGCTGCATAGGAGCACAATACTCTACAGATGGAAAGTATTTGTGATATCAGTAGCAATTTAGGTCTTTCCAAATAACTGAATTCCACTAAAAAATGACTCAAGCCCTAAGATCCCTAGTTGATATTTAGTATCGAAAACCACGCTGCCTGTCGCTAGTTGAATCTGATATTCAAGACATCTCCGCAGCTCTTTATAAATGTCCTTAAATATCTTGCTAATCGCAGCAGAACCATATAGACCAAGATAGAGACCTATAGTTACTTTGGTCTTCAATCCTTTTTGGAAAAAAGTTAAACATGAGCACACAGACACATCTCTGCGAAAAAACCGATATCTGAACGAGACGTGAAAGGGTTGAAGCAAACTCTTTGATAAGGAATTTACAAGTTCCCCCAGACCTGTTTATAAAATCGAGCATTTGTTTCTTTCTAGATGAACGCATTCTGCCTACATCAAATGGAACGCGTAAGATATGACAGCATAGTTTATACTTGCATAGATAACTGATTTTTCTAATCGTCACAGTTCACCTCCAAAGGACGTGAACTTGGTATCCAACCTTCTAGACGCATGTTAGGTCGAATGTATAAAGCAAACGCCCGTATCTATTATGACAGTTTTTTAAGGTATCAGACATCAAAGTGCAACTCACAACAGTTGTAGAAGAAAATTCCAAAGCGGTTTATTTTTTCTTCTTTGTCCTTTTATTTTTAAACTAAAAACGCGGGATTCCTGGGAAAAGGTTCGAAAAGTCCACTTAAGCCCGATTTTACTATTGATCCGCGGAGAAGGCGTCTTTGTAGTAGTGGATCAAATAAATATAGTCGATTTCTTCTGAAATATCTGTCAAACTAGAGAAAAAATATACGATTTGTGTAAGAAGGGCCTCTAATCACCATAATAAAAAAATAAAACCTTCATAAGTCACCTCGTTTAGCTACAAAAACATATTTTTTAACTTGATTCGAAGATCAAAACCTATGATTCGGATTAACAATGACCAATTAGAAAGTGTTTTAGTAAAACTGGATCAACAAAAGCCAATTGGAACCAAGTATCATAAACCCACCTTGTACATGATAAAATCAAATTGAAAAGAAACATATACAGCTGAGAAAATTGAAAAAAGGATATATCGGCTGTCAATTAGGTGTAGATTTCAACAAACTCCTTAATTATCTTCGATTATCACATGTTTCTGCTGCTGTACCTACCTAATCCACATGCATTCTTTCAAGGTAAATAGAGATGTTTCTGGGTTACATATATTTTAAACACCTTTACCTCTTTTAGACGAATATACCTATAATCTTGTCTTTGCTTTATAAATTAAAAAAAAAAAACGGTAGAAACCAGATAAGAGATTATACTACAGGGTGGGGCAAAAGTCACGAAGGGATTTGAAAAATTAATAACTTTTTTAAATTTATTTTGTTTTCATTTTTTTTTTCAGGACCGTGTAAAATAAATCCTGGAGATTAATTATGGAGCGTTACAACCTCAATCAACGAACCAAACTTATAGAATTTTATTTTGAATATCACCATTCAATAATTCAAACTCAACGAGCATATCGTCGTCATTTCAATTTGCGGAATTCGCCCTCTGAATCAATGATTCGACGCTTAGTGGCACGATTTCAGCAACAAGGCACAGTTATGGATCTCCCACGAAGCGGAAGGCCACGTTCCGCAAGAAATGAAGGGAACATTCAACGCGTTCAGGAGAGTGTTCAGGAGAATCCGGAAACCTCAACCCGAAGACGTTCTGCTGAGCTGCAGATGTCTCAAAGGTCTTTACGCAGAATATTAAGAGGAAATTTACATCTGTTTCCATATAAAGTGCAGCTAGTGCAAGAACTAAAACCAGCAGATTTTCAAGAACGACTAACTTATGCAGTTCGCTTGCAAAGAATGGCTCGAGAAGATAATGAATTTATTCATTCTCTGATCATGAGCGATGAAGCCCATTTTCATTTGAATGGCTTCGTAAATAAGCAGAACTGCAGAATATGGGGTACCGAGAACCCAAGGGTGGTTCATCAAAGGCAATTACATCCGCTTAAATGTACAGTATGGTGCGCAGTTACGTCTCAACGAATTATTGGACCATTCTTCTTCGAAGACCACGATGGGAATGCTGTATCTGTAGATGGCGACCGATATCGTGAGATGATTCAAAATTTCTTAAGACCAGCTCTTGCTGACAATCAAACGATGACTTTCCAACAAGATGGAGCCACTGCGCATACTGCTCGAGCCACTATGCACCTTCTAAGGCAGATTTTTGGCGAACGTTTAATTTCGAGAAATTCAGGATTCAATTGGCCCGCCCGCTCGCCGGACTTAACAGCCCCTGATTATTTCCTTTGGGGATATCTGAAAGGAAAAGTGTATATTAATAAACCCACAACCCTGCAGCAACTAAAAGATAATATTCGAGCAGAAGCAAGTGCTTTGGGGCCAGATATTCTGACTCGGGTAATGGAAAATGCTCTTGCAAGAGCTGCACTTTGCGAGGCTGAAAATGGCGGTCATTTGCGTGATGTAATCTTTCACACTTAAATTGTAAACAAACTCCAAACATTGCAGTTTAGTTTTGTGTTAGGGAAAAAAATTAAAATTAAAATTTAAAAAAGTTATTAATTTTTCAAATCCCTTCGCGACTTTTGCCCCACCCTGTACAAAAAGGTCTGTAATAACAGTTTGCAAAATGTAAAATGGAAACCCTTCTTTCGCGTGCCTCTTTGTAGGTTAGAGATGGGGTGTGTATACTACAAATACTAACGATATTCGAATACGCATTTCAAGTTTTTACTATTTTGTGATACAATAACCATTATAATAAATTATAACGATATTTATGATAATCAATGCATGTCAATGACATTAAAGCTGAATGTGCCCTAATACAATAAGATATCTCCCGGCAGACCCGTTTTATATTATATAACATAGGTATTCGATATTGGTTAAAATGAATTAGTACCTGGAAATACTGCACACTTTTGTCACAATTATCAATAAATATGAACCTATGATGAACAAAAACGATCAGATAAAACTAATCTTATAATTACTTGAATTTTTCTTGCGACATTCTCTTTTCCAAATATTCAGGTAATCAGTATGTCTTCGAAATGTGGATTCGATGAAAATATATAACTTTGTTATAAGTCACGATAAATGAGAGGAATCATTATCCCACTGTGACAGCCTATGACGCGGCGACCCCCATAATCTTACTTTTTAATGACAGTGTCTATCAGGAGGGGGGGTGTAAGCAATATACAAGAACCTGTACCCTGCTTTGAGTGACATCTGATGATTGCGTAGTAGATTCTCATCATCCTAGATGAAACAGCTTAACTCATTTTTTCAAAACTTGTAAAAAGAATTGTCAAAGATGCACTGCCAGGGAGAAGTAACATGATTTAAATTTAAAATGGTACCCAGGTAACTAACAGAACAAAGCGAGACTGCCTGTCGAGAGATACCGATACGGTCACGGTATCGCAGCCTGTTGGCCATGAGAGAGAGAGAGAGAGACCAGAAACATCTTTTAACCAATCGTCCTCATTGCTCACAACTCATTAAACATTATTTTGATTTTCCATAACATGTAAAGTAGTCTGCCAAGAATGGTATAGATCAAACGAGACTGTATTTTATACAATTCATTTATACACAATACATATTTTAAAAAAATACCTACATTTATGTGATGAACTCGTCATCTTCATCGTTTTTTTGTATTTGTTTAGAGCGCCAAAGTGTGTGATTAGTTTTAATAAGCAAGTTATAGTTTGTCTTGCTTTTGGTTGGTTTAATAATGGCGTCAAGGATGTTGATTTTATATTTCAATGTAACTGAGTTAAATATCTTCGAACGACTTTGTGTTTTATGATGCATTTGGACATATTGCAAACTATGAAAATGAATTGGATTCAAAATTGTTGACAAGGCAAAAACAGTAACAGAATATATAGGTACATATCAATAGACTTGACGCCATTTTTTAAATGTGCTGTATCTGCTTACATGCTTATTATATGTTGTATGTCATTTTACAGCATAAAAGTATATGAAAACTTGGAAACTGTATGTTTTAATGACTAATTCCTACAACGAACGCATATTTTTTAAGTTATCATAATTAACAACACACTGTATACATTTGTTCATAAATATAATGCAGCTCGAAGATAACAGAGGGGGCAAGTGTCACTGATCAGAATCCTGTAAACAATCGTCGTTTTAGTTTCGTTTGTTATGTGTTAGTGTTCAGCGCAATCGTCAGATGGCGCTGTTAACGGTGGTACCAGAAATCATAAGGAATAGTAGTTTAGCTAATAATCTGTGGTGTTCCTGAATTGTTTTGTATTTTGAATCTGAAGTATATAACCTTCACCACAAACACAAAAACAACTCAGTATCACATTCAAAATAAGTAACACTTTTTGTAACCAAATTTTCTAAATAAGGCGTCAAGTATTTCCATCCACAAACTGGTGGGGCTCAGGTCCAGTTGTTTATTTGCCTCGAAGGACCATATAATACAGGTATAAGCCACTGATGTCAGCATTTGATAATACTTTATTCTCTGAGGACAACTTAAATGCTTAGGACAAATAGCAGACAAAATTTGCTTAGGGCGTGCTTCGTGGTTTTTACAAAATCTAGTCCATTTTATTACATAGTAATTCGGTGCCACCTCTAACTTCATATAACAAAAGGCAATGCATGTAGCGCCATTTACAGGTGAATAATATAAATTAAATATACAGAAAACAGATCTCATATTGACACCCAAACGTATCGCATTCGCTAGATGGCTATACTGACCCTGTTATATAATAAAAGCCTTAAAAACTAAACACCTACCCAGGAGCGAGATGTCGTTTTTCGTACATCGTGAGATCGAACTATCGAACTTGATCTACGAACAACCACAAATTTCTTTCATGCTTGTTTATTGTACCTCTTGGCCTTGAATCACCCTAATTAACACTTGTGAATACTTGCGAACTCATTCTCCCAGCCCCTCTCTAGTATTCGTTTTCCTCTACTACTACTACTTTGCATAAATTTTGCTCACAGAGCATATATCTACAAATTACATTAGACGGTAATTTAATCGACAATCGACATGTTGATGTATTTTTAAAAATATATCCTTTTTTATAAAATTATTTCTCTCAGAACTAATACACTGTTTTCACTTTTAAATAAAGTGCTCTGTAGTTGAAATCAAATCAATTTATGCATTATATCAGATTTGATTCACTATTCGGGTAGGGATTGATTGTTGATCCAATTTTGCTAAAATGCTTTCTAATTGGTCATTGTTGATCCTGATCAAATATTTGAAATTTAAAAGAACAAATTGCATTTTAATGAATTATGTATATTATAACTGCGCTCTGATAAATCTAAGACATCCAAAAATTTTGAAAAACTGGATATTGATATTTCCGAATCCAAATAAATAATATAGAAATAATCTTCCGAATTTTGTAACCCTAACAAAATTAGATATTTTTATTTTCATTGATTGAATTTCACTATTATATATGGAATCAAGATTTACCAATTATTTGTCTGATTGTTTCGAAACAGGTTACACTCTATCACCATTCACTAGAAGTAGGGAAAATGATACCTGAAACGGAATAACGACACTTGAGCAAGTGTACAAACGTGCTTTTATTTTTAATATTAAAACAATATTCGACGTCACTTCAAACAAACTAGGATATTTTCAAATATCAAACAATCACGTCAAGCACATGCTTAGTAGAAATGCCCTTCATTGACCTAAATATGGCTGCATAAATACATTTTAGAGTTAGAGTTGAAGTTTTTCTTACGTCAGCAGTGACTCTCGTATACTGAGTGTTTCACTGGGAGAAATATTCTAACCATGGTATGGGTCACTAAGCGTTTTATGCTCGAGTATTTCACTTGATCACCTTAATTGGGCAACTACACAGCTACTTTACCAACAACGGCAACACTCGGATAGGAAGCTCTACGCAAAAATCACACAAAACTGAGGTGTTCGAAGTGCGTCACCAGCGACAGGCGTAGTCGCATACTCTCGATCATTCACGAATCCTGCCGAGTCCGCGGTTCAAATAAACTGTTTAACTGTTTTTAATAAAATTTACATTTTAACATAAAGTAAATCACCTAAAGTAATTAAACAATTTAATAAAACAGGTACATGGTTTGCTATTTTCAAGCAAATAAATTTAATATGTAGTGTTAAAGTTACTACTTAAACTGGTTCCAGAAAATTCAGTTCAATTAAACTGTATAATTTTGTCACCAGGGATAATTAAAAAACCATGGGTGATGAAATTTTTGCAGAACAACTGTTTAATTGGCCACGTTTTCTCAATGGACACCAATAATTTATGCCGGTAACAGTATACGTGGTTCTGACGTACTTTAGACAGTTTAATTCTGACTTTTAACATATCTTTAGTTTCAAATACGTATATCAAAACTGTATTCCTTGACACTGATCAAGAGGTCGTTCCCCGAATCATCCACGGGAGAAAAGTCTTGCCGTCGTCTATTAGTTTCATCTAACAAAATTTAACTTCCAGAGAAAACGCAAATAGATTCAATCACAAACTTATAAGATAAATGTCAATAGCTGTCGGTATTTCAGTGTGGTATTTAAGACCCGAAAATCAACCGAACATTGACAATTTTTTACCGAAATGAGACGTGGCATGGATAGAGTTACTCATCAATACCTTTCATTTAAGAAGTGGTGTTCAACCGGCATTGGAGAAGAGACCGATATACAGAGTGCTGTATAATAGCTAACTCTCACTCGAGCACCACTTTTCAGATGTGAGGAATTAGTACTTTCTCCATGATGAGTTTCATTCCGGTCCAACAAAGTGGTGTGGTAGAAATAAAGGAGTTTGTGGCGGACCATGTTTTCTTCGTTTTTCCAGATATCCTGAAAATGTCCCGGTCAATGTGGTTCGGTTTTTGACTGAACAGATGGATAGTATTGACAACAAGTTGAGGACAAATTGTAACAGAAAAAAGCTGCTAGAAGCCACCGAATACATCAGAATATAAAAATCAGGAATTTGTGCCTTTGGGATATACGACATCCCATATTTCGGTAACCCTCCGCCAGTGCTGGTGTCACTTCTTGAATAGAAGGTATTGACTCTTTCCATGCCAAGCCCAATGATGGTAAAAAATGTCAGTGTCAGGCGCCTGCAATCAGGATATCTCTGCCGATATATCCATGGTGCAAGAAGGAATTTTTTTGAACTTTTCTGACTAAGTGCAGTATCTTCAGTCGTTCCTACAATATGTAGGACGCCTTTATGGCGTCCTTGATTTTCGAAGTTTTCTACTGTTACGTGTCCGCGTTCTATTTTGAAGTTATGTTACAAATATCTATTTGCATCAAATTGTTCATGCTGTTTATTTATATCATCTGTTATATAGCCTGAAATTTTCTACAATTTAAGTAGGAAACATAGGAATAGGACGCCTCTTTCAGAAGGGCTGGGATATTTCTAGATTTTTACTGTTCCGTGTCAGCGTCAGCGCTCTCATATTGCCAGGCTACGTTTTCTTCTTGAATTGTAGGAAATTTCAGGCTATATAACAGATGATATAAGTCAAAAGCATGAACAATTTGATGCAAATGGATACTTGTAACATAACCTCAACGTAGAGCGCTGACACGGAGGAGTAGAAAACTATGAAAATCAGGGAGGCCATTAAGGCATCCTACAATTGTAGGAACGACTGACGATACGGCCCTAAATATTGTTTGTTGTTTTTGCGATAATTTGCCTGTTTTCAATGTTAATAAGATATGCAATTCACAATAAGGCTGGTAAAATCTAAATATTTTTCCAGTCAGAAGCATTTTGTCGGCTAACTGTTATATTGGAGTTACTACCGATCATGCACTAAAAGCACAGGGACGCCTTCTTGACTGTTCGACTTTATCAGTTAAGAAGTAATTGGGTACGGAGAAAATATGGGATCATAAAGTTTACGAAAAATTCAGCGCTAGGTGTTGTCAAAGTTGGGTATTTTCCGATAGATTGTTTCGTTTGGGAAGGCCTATCAAAATCTGCAATAAAATGTAGGGCTTCTAATTTAAAAAAATGTATGTATTCATCACAATTAGTTATCAATCGCCTTGTAGAGATAAAAATATTTTCCAGCTAAGAAGCATACGAGTGACTTTCAATTTTTTTAATTAACTTTTTTTAGATACCATGTGTAATAGTGGAGTTATCTACCAAATCCACACTAAACCTCATCCTGTATATTAGGTGATCTTTGAAAAATTCAAGATGGCGACTGGGTACTATGTTGGAAGATTTTTTAAAATGAGTCCCTCCTTACGAGTACTTCATGACCATAGAAAATAGGAGTTCAGTATATTTCGAAATAACGTAATGGCAGTTTCTCATGTTGAAATTAAACTTGAGGCATTCCATTGGGAAAATGTGAAATTTCGACAAATCCATCAACTTCGAATTTCAACTTACTAACTTGACCAGCAGGGGTATTATGTAACATGAAAAGTGACATTATGTAGGTTTTTATGTCATTATGTAGGTTTTCCTAGAAGAGGTCAATTGGGAACTAGCTGTGGTTCACTTCATGCTTTCTTGTAGCAGGCGCGGAGTGAACTATTTGCGCACCTAATCAACAAGATGACATTTGATCGGTTTTTTGAAATTATATATTTTTTTTATGTAATAACCCAGTCGTTAAAAAAATGGGGAATGAGGAGGAGGACATGAAAAGAAAATCACTGTATATGTCGTCAGTAAATATTATATCAAACTGGGGTCCCGGGCACAGAGCACGTAGCAGTCATGTCGTGATGGTGTGTAAATCTAGTCATACTATAAATTTAATTCCGAAAAAAGTGAAGTAGTGATTCGTGACGAGTTACTTCCATATTCCTAAAATTAATGTAATACCGTTAGCACTTGTCGATTTTGAATAATTTACAATCAATAATCAAAATGTGATTACGAAATGTTAACATTTACATTTCTGCCAGTAGTTTAGGCATATCTAACCTACCATGCGAAAATTAGTTGTATAGTTTTTTCAAGGATGTTTTGTATTAAACTAGTTGCCAGGCCAAAAAATGATTGGTATATTAACGTTTACACGACAATAGGTGTTTGACGGTTGATTTATTGTTATTAAAAATATATGTATAGTTCCTATAACATTATCGGTTTAAGTTTGTCTGATTTATTATCAATTTTATTTTGGTTTCAATTGCATTAATTCAATAATACGAGTACAGTAATAAAAACACGTGTGTATTTTAGGTATACCCACGATAACTGTTCAGAAAAAATTATGAAAACTAAATGACAAGGTCAACAGAAAATACTTAATAAAAATAATATGTCGAGTAATTATATTCTCATGTTTCTAGACTTTTAGAAATTTAGATCATGTTAATTTAGACAGAAGGGTGAAAAGGATATGGTTGCATTATATCAATGTATTATAATGGGCATTGTTTTTTTATGAATTTTGTATACTACTGAGTTAATGAGCTAGATAGTTGCATTACAAGAAGGAAGATAACAGGAAATATAAAGTTCAAAACAATGACAATTCATTTATCTCAAGTAAGCCTAATAAATACAGCTAGTCAAAATATACTTGTAATGCCTAGTGGGCTTCCTGGGTTTTCAAGAACTCTTTGTACTGTTCTTCAGACATAAGATTCTTTACTTCATCATTGTTTGCTAATTCCACTTTAAACAGCCACCCTGTAAATAAAAAATAGGGTTTTTTTGGGAATACTAGAATACACAAGTTGATTGAAAATAATTGACTGCAACCTCAATATAATAAGAATACTCTTTAATATAAAATCTATCATCTTTCGACTGTCCTAAGGTGCTGATGTGGTCATGGGATATTATCTGTGGATCTGTCACTGGCAGGTATTGCGAGGTATTTTTTTATACCGAAGCAGCCGCGCAGGCAGAAGCCTAAATGCCAGCGTACCGCGGCTGATATGAGAAGCTTAATAAAACTTCTTTAACCCGATTTTTGAACTGCCCAAGTTTAGTAAAACTAGGAAAAGAATCCTTATATAGATTGTTCCACAATCTCGATATCCTATGAAGAAGGGAGTGGCCGTATCGGCCAGTTCTGGATGAACGAAGCTGGACACGGTTAGGATGGGAGGCTAGGGTCAGCTGGGTCTGTCTGGCAGGCACATCGTGCGGCGGTATCATGGAGGAGAGCTCTGAAGAGCAAAGCCTGTTGGCGTAGCGGTAGAAGAGAGCTAGATCGCCGCCCCGAAACTGTCCGTTAGAGAAGTGTCATCGTTGGACAGCGCTCCTCTGCACATTTTCGAGCATGGATAATGTAGTCTGGGCGGCAGCACTCCAAACATGTGAGCAGTACGCGAGAGGATAGGTCTTATTTGGGCCTTGTTCAGAGTAAGGAGGTCATGTGGAGAAAAGTACTTCTTAGCCATAAACAAATAGCCTAGCTTTTTCCCAGTAGCTGCTGCTATTGACGAGATGTGTTCCACCAGATCAAGTCATCGGCGATTTTTACTCCGACCAGCCGAAATGAACGGCTGTTTGGCAGAACTCGTCCATTCATCAAAACCGGATGAGCGTTAGGAAGCTTCTTGTTCGTCGAGGTACAGTACTGTGTTTTGGAAGCATTAAACTATACAAGACTGCTGCGTTTCTGAGCTGTGATAACCTCAAGGTCTCTCGTCAGAGACGAAGTCGCTGCTAGTCTTCTTTTCTCCAGCTCACCGGCAGAGATCAGCTTGTCTCTTTGAATAGTGAGCTAATTGGACATATTGGCTAAGTAATGAGTAATATGCTCAATCAGCTAACAAATTTACTCAATAATTTGTGTCAGGATCAAAATTTACCTTTTTCATAGCAGGAACTATTGATGAGAGATGGCGTTTCTTCTAGTTCTTTATTTTTTTCTACGACTTTTCCTGATACTGGGCTATATAACTCGCTGGCTGCCTTCACACTCTCCAATGCTCCGCATTCATCTAAAAATCATACGAAGAAGTCAAAACACGTTATGGAAACATTTGATAAATATACGTATATAATGGAAAAGGTGTCACATTAGGTGAACATTAGTAATTTCATCTTCAAACAAATGGTTTCAAATATTAGCATTAATCTCAATATGCACGCGATAATTTTCAGCAGTTGCATTAGTTGAAGGTGGAGGAATGACAAATACATTTACGATTGTCCCTCTTTTTCAACTGAATGTTTGTAGCAGTATTCTAAATCCTTTTCATCTAATTACTTCATGGTGAGTACAGAGATGACTAAAAAATAATGTTACCAATTTGTTGTCAAAAATGCATTTTTTGTGCATTTGGTTGCGTAAGATAAGCAAAGATTTATTGAAGAAAGGAAGTGATAAGAAAAAAGTAATCACCCGCTCAGTTCTTCCATTCACATACAATTTTAGAGCTGAACTATTATTTGTTAACAAGTTATGATTGAAGAAAGAATGCATGAGAAGTGCATTTTTTGACAAAAAAGAAAGTGATAACATTGAAGAACGAAAAGTATTAAAGATAGGACATGCTAAGTTACGTTGTAGTTTCTGAGATGCACATAATCAATTTCCTGATATTAAGTAATACATACAGTTAAGGCTAATATTGTGTGCAAGAGATAAAAAATACAAATGATTATAACAATTGATGGTGCGATGACGGAACTTGAATTGTCGACAACTTTTATTTTAATAAACATATATCAGTGTTAATACTGCGCACTTTTATAGGATTCTAATTTAATTGTTCCGTTGCAAAATAAACCTAGTTTTCGAATTTCATCTATTGTTCCGAAATAGAACACTTGAGGGTCAGTGAGTATCAGTCAATCGAAAATGAGACCGAGTACCGAGTGTCATCATAGAAGATGTAGATCACTGCGTTGAACAGTAAGTAACGGATTGTATGCAAATTTACATACATAAAATATGATAGGTCTCGAAGTGACCTTTTTGTCATAGAATTCCAGTTTTGGTTGGGAAATCATCACATATCTGGGGTGAAGAGACAACTTTTTTTCATTATGTTATGATTGTTGAAAATCTTTGTTTTCGACTCCTTATGTTTAAGTAAATAGCTTTTCTGATATCTCTTTTTCCATGGCGGGACTTTAAGGTACAAAACATGAGGATAGTTTTTTGAAAAGATTATATTCGTATCTTTGGAAGCCTCAGGCTGTTTGCAGACCTGAGGAAGTGTGCGGAGGAAGAGCATTCATCGCTCAGGAAAATATTTTATTTATTATATTTATTTTACGATGAGAAAAATTGACACATATACTCCTCATTTTACAGGATGAAAATAAGTACTATAGAAAATGCCTGATATTGTAGAAAATAACGATTTTTTCTATTCCGACATTCTTAATGAGATATTAAAGCGGGTAAGAGGTGTTTGGCCGTGATGTAGCGCCACGCGTTAGAGAAAACATTAATTATTAATTATAAAACCACAGATTCGTCGATATCTATCTAAACATACCGCAATATGGCACATTTAAAGGCACGCCAGAAGCTTACCTTGTGAGCTTATCCTTGGTGAAATATACCTACAATTAGAATAACATTTTCTCTCTATCCATAAACTTTCCAAACAGGAAATAAAACCAGAGGCGCGACTGTACCTTAAGTGATCAAAATATCACTTAACGGGAGTGGTGAATGACTGATGAGTAAACTATTTTTCACTATGCTTCATCGTGTTTTGACGTCTTTTGAGGCAAACAGCTGATGAGCAAGTGACATGTGAAAAGGAGAGTACGCGTACTGCATATATTGCAACGACGAGGATACTCTACTCTTCTACTGGAATGTAGAGTAGATGGGATGACTAATACCTAAAGGTGTGGAAACCTAGCGCAACGCTACCCACTCTGAAGGAACGCTGCAAGCATTACCGTGGTAGGATGTGTGACGAACAACTTGTTGGTTTTAGTGAGTATGCCGCTTCTGGAGAATCTCACATAGTGGCTATCAAAGCTATTACTGTCTAAAAAAGTCTTTAATCCATTATCAGACATAGACCGAATTTTTCTTGTAAGACCCCATTTTGGAGGTTGCGAGACGGTGTTCTATTGGTCTATCCATCAATCCAACGACCTACCTTCCCACCATTGGTCAGTTCCCAATTGTTTTTATCTTGCTACATATTGAGATGGTCATGCCGCATATGCAGGCATTATATGTGCATATTTCAAATGGGATTTTATATTTGTTAAATCAGTAGGAATCATTACTATTTATTCACTACACGATACACGTCCTACTATTTTACATACATTCTCAGTGTTTCATATATACTTCAACTATTAATTTACTATAGGCTGTAGGTCATATAGTTTGCCATGTTTTCTGTCTGCTAAAAGAAACCACATATGTGAGTTTGAGTTTCTACAACTACTATTATTTCGTAATTATTTTTTTATTATTTACGTAACGGTCAGAAAACATGGAGAATGTTCAGCATTAAAGTATAGGATAAGTTTTAAACTTTACATTAATCATTTTATAGCGTTTTTTTTTGATGGGGTTCTGACACCGAAACCGTTCATTTGCCACAAAGGAATTTTATAGTGTTATTAGACTTTTTAAAGATCGCTAATTTCAATTTTGGTTTGATACAATCAGCACTTTGAAAAAGCTTAAAATATTATTGTGTGTCTATCAAGTTCTAAATTGAATGATGAACCTCATGGAGCCTGTGAAAAATCTTTAATTGTCATGAAATACTGAAAAAATGAGAACACATTTTAGAGTTTCTCAAAATTTCCAAATACCCTGCTTTCGTAACTTTGTTCTTGATACGGTCTGGTAGTTCTGTTATTGAAGAAATATTACCTCACCTTTTTGTTTAAGTACTGTATTGACATCTGGGAGTTGTGCGTAGATGACATCTCCGAGGGCGTCCTACAAGCATAATGAAGCATAGTCCTATTATATGTTTACTTATAAGATCTAATTTGAGTTTCAAAATGTTAAGTCCAATTTAGCCATCTGCTAACAAATATCGTTATAATACTTAAATTATAAGAAATTTTATGATACAGGGAATAACCATGCGATAAGTTACACTTCTCAACCAAGGTAGGTTAGGTTTTTTTGTGAGTGGGTCAATCACGATTATACACTGCGACTAAGTAGTCTCTTGTCGCTCAAACCTATTTATATTTCTTCTAGAAGCTCCCAGCTCCTAAGGAAGTTGATCAACTTATTTGGAGAAATATCTTTCAGGCCTTCTACTTGGAGCGCTACCCCTCCAAATGGATTAATTGTATTATACTTAACTCTGGGAATTGCAGGCCAATTTGCATAAAACAGACTGCACTCAGCGCCTTCCCACATGGCTAGCTTACTCATGTGGTGAAGTAATTTGCAATGACCAGTTTACAGTACCACTAAAGCTTTAAAGGATTCCCCAAACCAACGCGATTAATCCGCTGCGATATTCGTGGCGATATAATTCTCGCGAAATTCGCTGCGAACATCTGAGGGACTTTCATATCGACGCGAAAAGATCGCAGTGGATTGGCAGTAAAGGGTATGAGAGCGTAGCTTAAAAATCAAATTAAAACATGTACTCTTCAGATGAAGAAGAAGCAATTATATATCTTGCTTTGGCGGAGGAAGAACGGAGTAGGTATGTATTTCTTGCAATATCTAGGTCTCAAAAATATAAATATAATATATATATATATATATATATATATATAATAATTTTTTAAGCAGTAAGCAATGTGACGAACAGTATATACACCTTCTAGACGAAGATCTAGATCCATCACAAGCCTTTACCAACATCGAAAATGATCCAAGACGTGCAACGAATCTGGCATTTTCTACACGAGAAAATTTTTTTGACTACTTCAACTCCTAATATTGTTGGTCAAGATCAGCTTAGCTAAGCCACTCATAAATAATAAACGTATTATAATAATTTCTCAGTAAAGAGTAACTTTCCGGTGACATTCAAGTCCTATCTCATCCCAGATTTTGTCTTTTTTTCGAACATTTTTATAGTCCTCGTTGTTCAAGTCATAGAGAATTGGAAATTGTTTAATTATTTCTAGAAGTTTTTCAGTGTTTACCATTGCGATAGCGATAAAAATTGTGCAAGCAGCGAATTAAAATTTAAACGCTGCCCTGTCGCACCGCTGTGAGCGAAATTGACGCACAGGTCTGTTCTTGTTCATTTGCTTCTACGAGAAGAGTCCCTGAGCGATAATGTCATCGCAAATTAATCGCAGTCGCTGCGAAATATTCGCGTCGGTTTGGGGGATCCTTAAGGCTATTCCGATTTTGTCGCAGCAGTGAGGCTGTTAAGATTGGTGTGGTTCCATTAGTTTAGGTTAATCCTGTTAAATCCCTTCCAGTGTTGGATTTTTCCGCCCGTCTTTATGGAGATTATGTTTAGCCGTATTGAACCATTGTGCGCGGTCATGATCGCTGGTTCTGGCTCTATGGAGGGTGTGCTAGCCCCAATATTGGTTAGCATATCGAGAGTATATCCACATAAGACGGACCTTATATCCATCTCCTATGCTATCAACGCTTCTTTGTAATTCAACACTAATTTTGATGTGAAGTTAAGTGCTTTAAGCGTGGTTTGACTATCTGAAAGAATATTTATGGTTCTGTGTCTCAGTAGTTGTTCTGCGATCATTTTAGCAGATCTGTAGCATATACCTCAGCCTGGAAAATCGATGCCCAGGTTTCTAGGCTGACTGATTCCTCAATCTTTAGGTCAGGTTACTGTCCCCACTCATGCCTTTTAGGAATTATTACCGAGTAGGGTTTAGCATATCTTGTTATCTTCGGCATTATATCAGAGGGCATTCCCAGACTGTGATGATTCTCGTTCACCAACATGACCGTTTCCTGAGTGGTGATATTGCCTAGCACTATACCATTTGCCACATAATGTATCTCACATGTTGTCCTTCTTGCCATGCCTTCCAGGTATATATGTGCATTATACCAAGCATAGTAAATTAACAAGAACCTCCAGACCAGCAGGTGCGAAAAGCTTCAGTGATCAACATGTAAGCTTATCTCCGTAGGGCGCTGCGTTAATCTTGGATCGTTGGTTATACTACCTTGCCTCACCAACCTACAGATCGTATAGGTCTAACAACCATGGTATAAAGTCAGAACATTGCTTGGGCTTCATTTCCCAGTTCTCTCTACAGACCCATCGGCTGTTCCATAACCAGATCCTCGCCTTCTTAAGGACTGCTTCAAGACGCGAATTCCAGTTTAGCGTTTTATCTACGGTTACCACTAAATATTTCGGCTCTGTTGCAAACGGCATGTTTCCGCCTCGGATTCGATTTTCTCTTTCAGGTGAAAGGATTATCACCATTTTTTGCGGGTTGAGTTAACATTCCTTCCCTCACACACCAAGCCGACGCCTCAATGCTCGCAACCAAGTTGTTACGAGCAAGATCTGACGATTTGCTTGCCTAATAGGCATACTGAGCCACACTTAGGGAATGCATTCTCAAAGCCTCTTTACTAGGCCTTTGGGTCTGAGTGAATTTGCTACTAGCTCCGTCCGACCAGGCTTGGGTATATAGACTACCCTTGTCACCTTCCAACAGTGTGATATGTGATTTCACGCTAGTCTCGATGTGAAGAGTATTATGAGGAATTGATATATCCAGCCCGACTTGTAACAGAGCTGGATATATGTATGTCGTTCTTTAATGGCGATTTAATGGGCGTGAATAATTTCACTGCTGCTTTAACCGCACCAGGTGTTCAATCATGGTACCTATTTTACAGCCTCAGTGGAAACGCTTGTCGGCTTTCTGGGGTAATAAGCAAGCTAGAGTGGAAAATTCAAAAATCATACCTGTGCGTAATCAGAAATTCCAACGATTCCGATGCCATTGTCTCTGACCTCGACCCATTCATGTTTGTCAGTGTATAATCGCGCTGAAAATCAAACTGGTAAAAATTTATGCACTTACTATTACAGAAATGTGGCACGTATACAGGGTGGTGCTCGTTTATTAGTCTAGGCGTATTTTATGTCGTGTCTAATCGCACCAAATCCTATTGTTGAGATACGGATATAGGCACCGCTGACTTTTCTTCAAATAAAAAAAAAATGAAACCTGTATTGATTTATGAGCAGATTTGATCTTTTGAATTTTACAATTATTTCGGTAAAATTTGCTAATATGATCAGACTACTAGTAGTTTTGATTGTGGCAACCCTAAGAGCTTTGGTTCAGTGAATACTGTAGTTACTCAAGAATGACGTTAAGTAGATTGACTTTCCACGCAAGGCCTCCTCAGTTCATGACATATTATGTTCGGAACAATCCCTCTTTGAAAAAACTACGAACTTGTCTAACAAAGGAATTAAGTGAGTCTTCAGTCAAGTAGAACCGTAGAACGTAAATTAGTAATCTCCATTCCCCTCTCATTTGACAACGTTGCCAGCTAGAAACCTATACCCAGTTAAACTCACCAGCGGCAACTGCCAGATCGCGACAATTTTCATTTACCTTCGTTGCGCCCGACGCGGATATAAAAAATGTTTCTTAAGTGCAAATGAACAGGGAAATCTATCTGTCATATATGTCTGGTAGGTATCAGAGTTAGTATAAATATACTAGCGCGAAAATATTGATATACCCTCCCCCATAAACGTGCAACCCCCCCCACGCCTAATTTTTTAATCCTAAATGAAACTCAAAAACTGTCTTTGAAACTTAACAAGAAGTTCGAGCGATATTTAAAACCTACACAGTAGTAACTTATCAAAATTTCATGAAAATCCGCCAATTGACCTGTGAAGTAAAAGAGTAACAAATATGCAACCACTCACAAACAGCTGTTTGATGACTTAGGTAATTCTTCAATCCTATTTTGGCTTGACAACATATTGCATTTATAAGCACTCAAATATGAGTTTTTTCGAAATGAAGCTGTACGTTAAAATTAATATTATTCAGTCTCCTAGATGTCGCGATAGACACCTATATGTTGTGTACAGCTAGTGAGACTCTAACCTTTTCATAGTCGGGTATATATAATAAGTAGAGTTCTAAAGAAAAGACTATTACAAATTCTCATAGATGACGCTGCAGTATCTCATTTTATCTCCGATAATGTTTTGGACGTGGTAATATAGTATTAGATTGGCTTTCTTCAGATAGAATATGTTAGCAATGCTGAAACGTAAAATGCAAACTTGCATCCAATATTGTATAGTCTATTATAATTCGAATCACCCTGTATACCCGCCACTGGGTTCGGAATGGCATTGTATGATTTTGTATTGACTTACCTGCGTACGCACAGTTTGACGTATGGACAAACCTGGGTCGAATTTGGCACGAATATTGACTAAAAATAGGCTGTTTGACTAGTTGCGTGGTGCGGATCAAAAAACGTGGGATAGACATGATTTCTAGAACGATTATAAATTTCTCACAAATTAAAGAACGACGATTTGATCATTTCACGAGACACCGGACTGATCTCCGAATTGACATGTATAGTATGACCCCCGCTGATTATGTGAGGCGAAATTTTACTGAGGGGTCAAAGCTGATAAAAAAATCGTATGTAAACTGATTAAAATGTTGCGTAACCTAAAAGTTGTTGGTGTAAAGCGTAAACTCTGTGAAATGTATTGGTTATAGTTAACGTCAATGTTGCTTTAATGCGTACGATATAGCCGCAGGGGGTCTTTGGGTCACTGGTACAATATCAATAAACCACGAGGACGGGATAGAAAATCAAGCGCCTCCCGGGAGAACAATCTTTATACTGTCGTATGTTACTTGTTACAATGATACGCAGGCTGGGTATTGTTGGGTATTTATCATCCATTGTTCTTAAATTTATTAGTGTAAATAATCATTTGGTTGGTCAGGTAGTCACGAATGTTTGTAACATTTTTGCATTAAATACAACTTGAAAAAATAAACTGGTAAGAAAAATGATACACGTGGCGCCCTCTAGTGATGTATATTCTAATATAATGGTACATAAGTGGTCGTTGACGACCCTCACGTTGCCGAGTTTTATCACATTTTCATCAACTTGTCGAATTTTTAAGGGTCGATGAAAAATATTTTATTATTATAGTTGAATATAATACATTCCACGTAAGCAGCTTCACATTGAATACCAACATCACAATAACTTCGCAAATCGGCTTTATACCAAGCTTATGATGAATTTGTTATAAAAATAGAAATAGAACTAAATATTGTTTTTTCATGATCTTTAAGAAAACTCAGTTACTGATCACCCTTAATCAATCAAACGCGACGTTTTTGTGACCAACATTGTGAAATATGCAAAGATGTCATTATTTAGAAAGACTATAAAAACAAAAATTTTTCTAAAAACTTTACTAAATTACTGATCTAATCGGGGGTGGGTAGGGTAATTATTCATCCCCTTGATCTTGATTATACATACACTCCTAGCCATTCCTGGAGGGAAAATCATTTTCTGATATTTAAAAGGGTTGTTTTGTAGTAGTTTGCCTGCTCTTATCTGCTCTAAAACTAGGCACGAGCCATAGTAAGATTGCATTGGCAAACGTCGGACAATAAACAATCAAAGATGTCCACGCTTTTTTAGGCGACGTTAAAAAATGGTATGTTTTGAACGTGAATATTTTTTGAGATAAAATGAGTGTCGAATAGCACACATTTGATGGAGGTATCAGTGATGAAATAATCTGTATTCACGTCGAGATATGGCATCGGCGGAGAAGAAATTCGTCTATAGGTAACTACGATCGCATTCGATGACCTCGTTCGACCTTTCACTAATTTACGCTAGATGGCAGCTATGAAGTGAAATCCATGTTTCCCTGATCTGACTTTGACGTTGACCCCACCCCACTTGATTAGTCACTAGCACATGTCACTAGTTGAAAACAGATTTGCCATATGGTAGACACTTTCACACTTTTCGAATAATATAGGTTTTTTGTAAGCTAATCTTGATGTTTCTGGTAATTTATGTCTTAAAGTAATCAAATCAGCGGGAAATTGCCTGTTCCTTTTAGGAAGATTTTGCGCGAATAGTCCGAGTACTATAAGACGATATTATGGTGGGTTCATGCACGATTTAAGCTAACTTAACTTAAGAAAATGAGCATTTCATGCGCATGCGCGGCCAGGATTGCCAACGTAGCAGTTGAGGCAACATGAAAGTTAAATACCCTTAAATAATCATATGTTTAACGTCAAAGTAGCAGATGAAAGAGTGTTTTGTGGCTTATGTGTCACGTGGACTGGCGGGCCAGCCTTGACGTTGACAAGTGGCCCCTCCCCACACGCTTGCGCCAATGCAGGTCAAAGAACTCGGATAATAGTCCAGATAATATGGGAACATCTGCTCGGAAAACTCTTCCGATTCCTATTTTTGCATAATCTGATTCAAGGACCTCTTAAAGAATCTGCATGTGACTAGGCCCAAAATCGCTCCAAAAATTGTTATTAAACCGATTCCAAAAATTGATTTGTTCGCTTTGTTTAAAGTATTTTGCGGTTTTTAGGACATTCTAAATAAAAAATGAGCTTTAGAACTTTTCTCTAGACTTGATATATACAGGTATAAGCAATGTAAAAACTCAAAATATGTCATTTGCTACCCTAAAAACAATATGAAAAATGAATATTTTGTTGTTGCCAAATCTCACACATGCTTCAACCAACCAATAACAAAACCCCCAGAGCATTTGAATGCGCGCTCAATCTATAGTCTATGTCTATGTGAACGCGAGAGAGATGAAATATCTCTCGTGCACGCTGAATATGCATTGAGCGTCCGCTTGCATATAAACTAAATACAAAGATTTATAACATCAGTATCTCCTAAAAGGTATCGTTAATGGTTATTTATGAAGCATGGCGACATTAACATTTTCGTTTTTTCAGATCGTTTTTCGGTATCGCAAAATCAATTTTTTGTACTTTCCCATCTCGTACAAAATCAACTTTTGACAAACATTGTCAAACATCATTTTGTTTCGGAGTATCAAAAAAACGAATGCTACCTTTGATGAAGCGAAAACATTAATTTTTGTAATTTATTTGAAAAAGTTGTTCAAACAATTAGAGACGCAATTTGGAGCCTGACAACATGTAGATTTGTTACTAGGAGGCTTTTTCGAATAACATGCAAAAAGTCCGAATCCGAATATTTTCCTGAGCAGATGTGAAGATATTTCTTGGACTATAACCTCGACGGCAGCGCCACTTTTCTTGGCTGGAAATCTGGTGGAACTATAAATATTGAAAGTATGCCGACAACGCATATCAGGAATGTCAGGAATGTGTCGGCGATTTCATTTGTTTACATTATGAAATCTGACTGACGACCGATATTGAGGCAGTTCGATGATCATAGATGCATAACACATCCTCAATAAAGGGAGTATTTCTTTCATCAGTTTGACTAGTAATGAATATCAGGATAATAAAAAAATGTATAATTAAAAAAATATTTACTGAACAGTCACAGCAATAATAGAACAAATTCTTCATTACAATAAATTGTACATACATAGAGGTATTCTACTCATCTGGATTTTTCTCTATATTATGAACCTGATCAGTGCAATATCATGCAAGCACTATCTCTTGTTAATTGATCAGGTATATTTATTGCGAAAACATAAATACTAAAATAACAAAAAATACATCTGTAGGTAGAGGACTGACTGGAATACAAATATAATCACTCTGATATGTGAATCAAAAATAGTTTTGCGCACACTGTTTAATGGGTAAAGGCAAACAAAATTGTCCTCAACAAAAAAAAACATAAAACAGTAATTGTTTCTTCAAACTAGGAAACAAACTCTCATTGACAATTAATTTGGTATCTATAAAATAAATGACGATCTTCATTCCAACTGCCTCCTCGAAGGATTTTGACACTGTGAAACAAAAAAAAAAATTATTAGCATAATATCACTGTCATATTTGGTCAGCAAGCACTAAACAGAAACATAGTCATCTCATCACGCCCCTTCAGATGATACTGCTCTGTACATATGTATAAATTCCCAATCTAGCAGTATACATTTGATTGCCAAAATTCTGTGTTTAAAAAAAAATTTTTCATTGGTGATACCAAATGCCAGTCCTTAATTTGGCCCTTTACCAGGTTTGTTATTACCAACAGTACAGATGTCACAAAAAAAGTTACGTGCTACTCAATCTGTTTACCTCAATAAACGTCAAAAGAGATTACATATTTGGTGGGCTGCGAATACACAGCATTCGTCAGGTGTCAACCTGGTTTGTAGTTAATGACAAAGTACCTTCACAGTGTTCTGTGAGGTTTTGGAAAAACATGTCATGGGGGGCATGTTATAGATTTAAATTCTCTTTTTTCTTCTGTAGGGGCTATAATTTGCCAACATCACCACTGGTACAGTCTCAGACATGAAAGTGTTTGCATCTATCAGCTATGAAGTCAGTACTACAAGCACAAAATTTTAAGATCATTTCCCTTTTTTTTTTTCGTTCTCTAGAATATAATTTCAAAATCCTCTATCTTGGTATTTTTTTCATGCTGTTTTTTGATCTAATTTATGAAGGAAACATGACCACTGACTTTAATTATTATAATTTTTAACATACATGATTTTTTTTATCAATCGGCCCCGATGTTCAGCTCTAAACTGTCATGCGTAAGCAAGCGCAAATAATTTTTCATACAAGTGTCACCGAACCATCTGCCCATACTGCGATATAAAATCGATCAAACATCACGATATAAATATCGACTATCGACTTTTGTACAGTATCGATGGCTCGTAGCCATCTTCTAATTCCAGCTGTAGCGATCAGCTGACCAACGCTAGTGATCCGATTGGTTGGTTCTTAAGGAAAAGTTCAATATATTGAACTTTATTTTAAGAAGTGACCTTGAAATTAAGAAATCGACCATAACCTCAATATATTTTGTCATTTATGCAAAAATGAACTGATTTGGATACTTACTGCAACGTCATCATTAGGCGCTCCTCTGGCGATGTCCGATTGCGTTCAGGTGACTTCTGCAGGTACCTCTTCAACAAGGTTAGGAGTTGATACCACTGCGGCTTTTCGTTATTTTTGCTCTAGGCATGGCCATCCTCAATTAATCGCACAAAAAACAAGTCAAAGGCAGAAAAACACACCCGAAGACGAACACCAAAACAATTCTCTACCGCAAATTCGTCAACAACTCAAACAAAAACAACAGATGAGTCACTGCCTGGGTGCCTGGCTTTCTGGGTAAATCGTCGTGGAACACGGGACACCACAGAATTATTATAATTACGTCAATACGAGCATAGAACAGTATGGAAAGGGCTATCCAAGGGTAAGACGAGTTCCGAAACCACCCGAATCATGTCAAAAAATGGGTGTGACGTCACCAAAACGTTTGACCACCACTGGAAGTCACTAGCTAGTTACTATCTGGAGGCGTAACATGTGGAGGACACTGGTGTATAAACAGCTGATCCTTAAGTTCGGTTAGTTTAAGTCGTGCATGAACCCGACATTATATTAATAGATTAATATTATACAGGGTGTTAGGTAAACATGCAACGAAAATTCAAAGGGGGTTATTCGTCGGTCTATTATAAGAATATTCTGTTTTATGATGATTTCTGAAAAACCCCTTTGTTTCGAAGATACAGGGTGAACAAAATTTGCGACACTCACAACATTTTATTAACAAAAAGTACATGTTGCTCCATCTACAATGAATGTTCTAAATGACTCCCTCCAGCCTGGATACAAGCATTAAATGTTCTCGTCATTGAGTGCCGAACACACCAGGGTTGTTTCTAACAAGTTACACCCAGCAATTATCGGATTTCACAATTCGTCCAAATTCTTTGTTGGAGTAGCGTAAACTAAC